ATTTCAGTCGTCCTAAAAAGTCAAAATTCTGAAATTTTTTAGTCAAATGCAAAATTAACATACGACGACTGAAATATCAGTCGTCTAGATTCTTAAGATATTTTTTTTGTAGCCAAAATAAAGCAGACGACTGAAATTTCAGTCGTCTCTGGAAACAAATTGCAAAGTCAATTGCAAATATAACTTCTGCGTTGACTGGACGAAAGCAGACGACTGAAATTTCAGTCGCCTGGACGAACAGATCGCAAAAAATAACTCGATTTCATACCTTCAATTGGTGAGAGCACTTTCTTTGACTATATGAACCCTAGAAAATCTAGAATCAAGCACTCAGGAGCTCAAACAAAGGTAATCCACCTTGAATCTTTAATTTCTTTGACTATATGAACCCTAAAAAATGTAGAATCAAAATCTTGGGTTTTTTTAGCTCATTGTGGAGAGAAAGTGAGAGATATGTGTTGTAATGTGTTGTTTAGTTCATGAGAATAGAGAAATAAGAAGGGTAAATGGAATTTGGAGGCATTAAGAGCTTCAAAATTGGTTGTTCATGGTTGTTGGAGTATTGATGACAATGACAATCTTGTAATTACTTGAAGATGATGAGGGTGAGAGAGTAAATATGTTATTTTCGAAAAAAAAAAAAAATGATGGCATTTTCGTGAATTATATGAACTTGTGGGATGAATTGGGCAAAATAAAGTTCCAAAAAAAAGGAGGTTAGTTTTGTGGTTGACTTCAAGTTTCAGGTCAGTTCTGCAAAAAGCCCTTTTTCAAACCATATAACAACTCCACTACATGGAGAGAACTACTAACCAAAAATAAACACACAAGAACACAATAGAAGAAACAAAACAAATAAAATCCATGGACATCACAAGAAACAACACCACCACCAGGCTCCATATTCAATCTCAGTCTCTGTTTCCTCCTAATATGATAAAAGAAACAAAGTCTTTTCTTGTCTTCACTACTTCTCTTTTTTTTTCTTGTTCTTCAAATCTCTCTTTGTTTGTTTGTTTTCAGGAGAAAACTTTAGATATGGAGCCAAGAATGAGCGCAAACCCATTTGCAGAAGACTCACTTACAAGCAGAATCAGTCTTAAGGAAAAAGCAGAGTACATCAAATCAGTGCCAGTTTCATCAAACCAAAGCAGTAGCAGCAGTAGTGAGATGATAAATGAAAGAAGACATAGTTTTTCATCACAAAAAAGCATTGGAGATGGAAGAAGCAGTGGGCAGAGAAGAGTGATGCTAATGGAGTCTCCTTGCACTCCAGGTAGAGGAGTCTTCAGTTTCAGCAGCAATGTCTCTGGGAGAAGAAGAAACTTCCCTTCTAAATGGGACGATGCCGAGAAATGGGTCACCTCCGGTCATGAATCTCCGGCACATTCCCTCAAAGTTTTTTACTCGGAGAAGTCTAGGGTTACATTATCTCCACCAGATCTTGTACTTAAAGGTAAAGAGGCAGAAACCCTTTTAATAGATTCTTGAAAAGTTTTAATTTTTTTGACTCTGTGTTCTTGTAGATAAGTTAGCAAACGAAGTGCAACCGTCTCTACCATCAACGGAAGGGTTTATATTCAGAGATTCCGACAAGTTTCTCCAGTTCGAGGAGGAAGAAGAAGCTCAAGTTCAACGCAGAGATATTGGAACAGAGATGACACCAATGGGAAGCGTAACGGCTTCAAGATGTCACACGCCGTTTACAAGCATGTCTCCGGCCAGACACAACACGCCTTCGAAAATGTCTGGTCCGTTAACAGAAACTAAAAACGTTATAGACATCTCCGAGTTCGCAGACAAGCTACGACTCAGTGGGTCAGCAGCGACTCAGTATTATAACTCGGTCACTTATTGGAACTCGAGGGAAGAGGAAGAAGAAGAGATATCGAAGAGCTTAAGACATATAGACATGGAAAGTGAGTTACGGAGAAGTGTTTCAGAGTCTAGAGCTGCGTTATGGGATGGTGAAGATGACAAGATCAAGTTTTGTCAAAGGTATAAACAGGAATTTGAAAGTTTTTTTTTTCCTTTTGATAAACTCAAAAAGTCGATTTCTTTTGTAGAAATCAAAGAGAAGAAGCCAAGATCCAGGCATGGGTGAATCTCCAAAATGCTAAAGCCGAAGCTCAGTCCAGGAAACTCGAGGTATGTGCATGATAATACGTATGTTTTGGGGATGGAACCGTATAAAAATACGGTTTTTGTTCTGTTCTAGTAATAGATTTATGGAGCCATGCGTCAACATTAGAGTAATGTCCGAAGTCCCTTGCACGACTTCATTGACTAGTCTTCGTTACTTTAGAAGCAAAAAGTCTTCGACTTTCTAATTTTTAAAGATTAGATGATGATATCTTTGTAGTTGTACTTGTAACTTGTGCAAGTCCCATGTGAAAAAAATGATAATTTACAGAGTTAAAAAACTTAAGACATACTCCTTCTATTTCTAAATAAAAATCATTTTATTATTTCTAAACAAAAATTATTTTATTATTTCAAAATAAATGTCATTTTACATTTTAAATGTAAATTTTTTACATTTTAAATGTAATTTTTTTACATATAATTTATTTTTTACCTTTTTAGCTAACTAATATATATTTTTAAAAATTATTTGTATTTGAGTAATTATACACTAAATAAAGATATATTAGTATATTTGTTCATTTTAAAAATTTTACATAAAACAAGTCAAAGTGACACTTATATTAAAGCAGATGGAGTATTAAACCATTAATCATTCTATTATGTAGTTATTAGATCATACAACTCCAAAGTTGAGAGCTGTGATGATTTTAAATATTTTCATAATTAGTTTCTTGTTTTGGGTGGTCTTTTATTTGCTTTAGGTGAAAATACAGAGGATGAGATCAAATTTTGAAGAGAAACTTATGAAGAGGATGGACACGGTGCACCGGAGAGCTGAGGATTGGAGAGCTACGGCGAGGCAGCAACATGCTGAGCAGTTGCAGAGAGCAGCTGAAACGGCAAGGAAGTTAACAAACCGTCGTGGCTATTTGGTTTCCGGCCGTAGCTCATGTGGTTGTCTTCCTTGCAATGATACTTGTCACTAACTTAGTAAGAAAAGGAAGAAAAGTAGGGTTTATGTTATGTGTGTTGGATTATCAATATTTATGTTATTTTTTATGGAATGTCAATGAAATAGTGGATAACTACATTGTTTAAATTACAAAAAAAAAATTTGGAATCCACCTAAAACGACAACATATATTAAGAGATAGTTTTTTTTTTTTTTTTTTGAACACAACTTAATTAAGAGATAGTTTATTTTATAACTTCTGGACGTTACATATGACATTGTTTTAATAACTGCATACTAAACCATCTTTTGAATTTAACTGTGGATGATTCGAATTAGAATTTTTTAGTTATTGGTTAAAAACAAAGGAAACATTAATTAGTGGAGGTTCTGATTGATTTTTTTTCTTCTGTATTATGGAGTTTTTTTCTTGTTGTTTACTTGTTTACTAAACTCGAACTGTTGTTGTCAACTTAAAGTTTAAATACAGAGAGACACAAGAAGACTGGCCAAAGACAAAACTTTTGGGTCTGAAACGAGTAGAAGCCTTGAATAAGTCACAGCTTTTCTTCCTCCCCATAATCTACAAGACAGCACTCCTTCATTTCTTTTTGTTCTTTTCTGTTTGGTTGTATTCGTTGAACTAATAGTAAAAAATAATTCATTTGAGTACAGGTAGAAAAAAATTATTCAGACTGGCTATTTTGTAGCATCTTTTTTTATAACACTTAAATTCTGACATTTTGGTAATTATAGATCCCCAATATATTAGTTGATAAACATTACAACATATTTTGATATCATCATTAGAATGCTTCTCAAATTTACTAAACAAAATATTGGTCTATTTAAACATATAATATACTTTTTATTAAACTAAGCATAAAACTATTACTAATGCTAATCATTATTTCCTTAAATAAAATTTATAAAATTACTTAATATGGTTATAATATATATTTATATATATATATATGACAATTAACGATTTGAATATGAAAGATTTGATAAAAAAATTGTATAGTCTCTTTTTTTGTTAAATTTATATTTTGAAAATAAACTAAATAGTAACATTAAATATATTACAAAAATTTAGATTTTTATATATGTTATATATTGAATTTTTAAAAACGACTATAAATTAATAAAAAAATTAAAATTTCACATATAATATTTTGATTAATAGTTTAAATTTTTTGTTATAACACGATACAAACAATTATATAATTAATGAGTAAGAAATATCATATAATATATATTTAAATTAGATGTATATATATATATATATATATATTAGTGATGTTTAAATCAAAATAAATACCATTTAAAAATACATAAATATTTAATTCCCAAATTACATCGAACAAGTATTGAGAACTTAATACTTTAAGGACAAACTTTGAATTTAATTTTTTTAAACGATGATAAATTACTGTAAATATTAAATCTCTCACATTAAAATGATGTTATCAGTATTTCAGAATTTTTATTTTGAAAATCTACAAATGATCATAAAACCATTTAACAGTGAAGTTCATTTATTAGATATCCAAATTAATTAATATATATATATATATGTTAATATCATTTATTAATTACATTTACTTATATAAAGTGATTGTAAATAAACAAATATGATTATTTCATTTAAGTGATCGCTAAATTAATTATATATATATATACTAATTACAGCTTTTTCAATTATTCAATATATTTATATATATATATATATATATATATATATTTATTTTATAATATATATAAAACACAAAATAAATAATAATACATAAAATAATTTGTATATATAATTTTCATCCCGCGCAAATGCGTGGGCATCGCTTATATATTATTTGGGAATCATTTAAAAAATTGTAACCTTAAGTTCGCATTAATTAAAAATAACTTCAATTCTATGTGGTATATCTCTTTACCTTCTAAATTATATTTAACACAATTCTAAAGCACCTTACATATACCATACTTTAAACATATATTTACTAGAAAGATGTTGGTCACATATCTTATTAATATTAAAACAATTTATTATTCATTCTTTCCTTAAATAAAAGCTACGGAATTACCTAATTTGATTAAAAGATATAATACAATTAATATTTCAGTAATAAATATTTGCTTAAAATTTGTATACCCTCTACCATAGTTTCAGTAAAATTTGTTATTAAAATAATTTACACAATTATATTATTTATATAATAAAAACTTATATTTTTTGTATATATTGTATTTTGATTTTTTAAATATGTATAAATTACTAAATTGTTAAATATCTCAAATAAACTTTTTGTGATCAATTGTTTAAAATTTTATTATAATAAGATACAAATAATTATAAAATACATGAGTAAGATGTCTTAGTTAATATGTTTATATTAATACATATATATATATATATATAATTTAAAATAAATTACATACCTTATAAAATACATACTTATATTTTGATATTTTCATTGAAAAATATTAAGAATTTAATATTTTAATTTTAAAATTTGCATTCAATTTTTAATAGTTCAAAATTTTGTTATAAAAATATATTGATAATAATAAAACCTTATAATGAGAAAATTCATTTCACTACAAGAAAACCAAGCCTTTACTAGGAAACTTTACTAGGAAAATAAATCCTCGTAAAAATACTACGAGTTTACTTCGAGTTTACGAGGAAACCACTTTTCCTCGTAAAGTTCTCGTATACTTACGAAAAAACAGTTTCCTCGTAAACTCGTAGTAAACTTACGTGGCCCTTACGAGGAAAAAGATATTTTCCTCGTAAACTCATAATAATTCCTTTCCTCGTAAAGTCCTAGTAATTGTTTACTACGAAATTAGGAGGAATGAATTTGTTACTACAAAATTAAGAGGAACTGGATAGAAAATATCGAATTTAAATCAAAAACGTGTTTTGTACCTACTTTTCCTAGCAATTTCCTAGTAAATTCTCAGATTCAAAAATTTCTATAAATACCACCATATGTGATTCATTTGAAACACACCCAAAAAAAATCAGCTATAAGCTTGATCAAACACAAAAAAAAATGTCCGGTCCGGAAAATATTTTCGAGTTGCGGAAGTGGATGTATTCACACAGAGATAATAACGGCAGGGTGACGAAAGAATTTCTCGAAGGGTTGGAGACGTTTATGCATCAAGTAGATTCTACACCACTCATGCAGGAAAGTGGTAAGATGTTATGTCCTTGTCGGAAATGTTGCAATACCAAATTAGGCCCTCGTGAAAATGTTTGGAAGCATTTAGTAAATAGAGGTTTCATGCCATATTATTATATTTGGTATCAACATGGAGAAGATGCTAGTTGTAGGAATGAAGGTAGCAGTAGTAATAGCAATTTTCATATTGAACCGGTTGAGCATTTGCGTAATGAAGGTAGCAGTAGTAATAGCTATCATCACCAAGAGGAACAAATGGTAGATTGTGATAGGGTTCATGATATGGTAGGTGATACCTTTGTAACTCATGATGATGATGAAGTTGAAGAACCTAACTTAGATGCCAAAAAGTTTTATGAAATGTTAGATGCTGCGAATGAGCCAATTTACAGTGGTTGTAGAGAAGGTCTGTCTAAATTGTCGTTGGCTGCAAGAATGATGAGTATTAAAACCGATCACAATCTACCTGAAAATTGTATGGATGCATGGGCAAACTTGTTTAAAGAGTATTTGCCAGAAGACAATGTGTCTGCTGAATCTTATTATCAGATTCAGAAATTGGTATATAGTCTTGGGTTGCCCTCGGAGATGATAGACGTTTGCATCGACAACTGCATGATTTACTGAGGAGATGATGAGAAGTTAGAAGAATGTCGATTTTGTAAGAAGCCACGATTCAAACCGCAAGGTCGAGGGCGTAATAGGGTACCGTACCAAAGGATGTGGTACCTACCAATCACAGACAGATTGAAAAGATTGTACCAATCTGAGGAGACTGCTGGAGGGATGAGATGGCACGCCGAGCATACTCAGACGGNGTAATAGGGTACCGTACCAAAGGATGTGGTACCTACCAATCACAGACAGATTGAAAAGATTGTACCAATCTGAGGAGACTGCTGGAGGGATGAGATGGCACGCCGAGCATACTCAGACGGATGGAGAGATGACTCATCCATCAGATGCAAGAGCATGGAAACATTTTAACAATGTACATCCACATTTCGCTAGCAATAGTCGGAATGTGTATCTTGGATTATGCACTGATGGATTTAGTCCATTTGGAATGTCTGGGAGACAATATTCATTGTGGCCGGTCTTTCTTACACCGTATAACTTGCCACCAGAGATGTTCATGCGACGAGAGTTTCTATTCATGAGCATATTAATACCAGGTCCAAAACATCCAAAAAGATCTCTCAACGTTTTTCTACAACCACTGATAAAAGAGTTGAAAGATTTGTGGTCAACAGGGGTGAGGACATATGATTGTTCAACGAAAACAAACTTTACGATGCGAGCGATGCTTTTGTGGACTATAAGTGACTTTCCTGCATATGGTATGTTGTCTGGGTGGACTACACATGGGAGATTAGCTTGTCCATATTGTAATGGAATGACAGATGCGTTTCAGTTGAACCATGGTAGGAAGACTAGTTGGTTCGATTGTCACCGTCGATTTCTTCCCATTCACCACCCATACCGAAGAAACAAGAAATTGTTCAGGCACAAAAGGGTTGTCAGAGACACTCCTCCTCCATATTTAACTGGAGAACAAATCGAAGCGCAGATCGATTACTATTGTGCTCTAAAACAGCTCCTCATGGTGGGAATTGGCATGTTCCCAGTAATATGCCTGATTCTTATGGTGTTCAGCACAATTGGCACAAAAAGAGTATATTTTGGGAATTGCCATATTGGAAAGATCTTATTTTGCGCCACAACTTCGATGTGATGCATATAGAGAAGAACATTTTTGAGAACATCATGAACACTATATTGAATGTCACAGGGAAGACGAAAGACAACGTAAAATCAAGGTTGGACTTACCCGATCTCTGCTCAAGGAGTGAGCTACAT